CAAGGTGTCCAAAGCAGAACTGAATTAACAAAATTGTGCATTCACAGCATGCTCAAAAAAATTAAAAAACAAAAAAACAAGTAAAACTGTTTGCCAGACTCTCATCTAAAACTCACCAATTCTACTAAACTGACCCCAACCAAGAATTTAACAAAGCCTTTAGGAATGAGTTTATTAGATTTAATCTGAATTAAAGCAATAAAAATACTTAGCATCTCCCTAGATCTTTCTTTCTAGGATTCTATATCCAAAAATATGAAAACCTTTTATCATTCTCACGTTTTTCCCTTGTGAGCCAAGAGCAGTGCAACTACATGGGCCTGTACCAGAATACGGAACCCGGAATACAGAAAAGGCAGAAATTTCCCTTCTATGAACCTAATTCTAAATTCTTAACTAAGGGCACCTGGGTGGCTCAGTCGGTTGGGCGACTGCCTTCGGCTCAGGTCATGATCCTGGAGTCCCTGGATCGAGTCCCGCATCGGGCTCCTTGCTCGGCAGGGAGTCTGCTTCTCCCTCGGACCCTCCCCCCTCTCATGTGCTCTCTCTCATTCTCGCTCTCTCAAATAAATAAATAAATCTTTAATAAATAAATAATTAAATAAATAAATAAATAAATAAATAAATACATAAATAAATTCTTAACTAAAATATGTGCCTACAGTTAATGTGACTCCATGATATCAGAGGCACATAAGCACCCCCAGGATGTCCTTTGTAAGTTTTCCTCAGTTCACCCAAAACTAATGGGAAGAAAATTAAAAGGTAAGAGAAAATAAATGATAGCAAAGAAGGGAAAAATGGATCCCCAAAAAGAAGGCCCTTATTTTCCTGAGTCTCTCCCTAGTACTTCTGATTACCTGGCTCACCAAGGCAGTCTTGCAGCACTTTAAAACCTTTTCCATCTCAAAATTCAAAGAAATGCAGCTGGTTAGTTTGTAAATAAGTTATGCATTTCTAATTTTCATTATGACAACTTATTATTTTGTTACCTAAGAATACTGATAGTGAAAAACAAAAAGAAAAATACACATTGGCGACTGTTTGATTTCCTACACCAATGCCCTTTCCCCACCGCTTCAATCCTTCACCATAATTCAGTTTGAAAAGCAAGTTCAAAACTTTGCCTGGCTTAGCCACACATGCAGTAAGCAGCAACACGCCCTGGAAAAATTACTATTCAAATTAAGTCAAACTTGCTAGTTCCAGATTAGAAAAGCAACTATTACATATCCTAGGAAAAACCATAACTCATTAGCGCCACCTTGGTCTCAGTTTTCATAGAGTTAGACCTGAAGAGTCCAGATGGCCCTCTGTCTCTAACGGATCAAGGTCCTATATCTTTGGTGACAACAAAGATCTGTTTGTCATCATTTTGTTTTTCAAGATTCTCAGGGGAAAAAAACTCTCAACATTAGTAATGCTTCAGTATTTTATTTTATTTTTATTTTTTAAAGATTTTATTTGACAGAGAGAGAGAGACAGCGAGAGAGGGAACACAAGCGGGGGGAGTGGGAGAGGGAGAAGCAGGCTTCCTGCTGAGCAGGGAGCCCGAAGCGGGGCTCGATCCCAGGACCCTGGGATCACGACCTGAGCCGATGGCAGACGCTTAACTGAGCCACCCAGGCATCCCTGCTCACACTAATTTTTAAGTCAAATTTTTTAAATGTAGACTTTATTTCACTAAATACTACATTGAGCTCGGCCACAAAAATCTGAACTCCCCATCACAATCCTAAGGACAACATCTTGCAAACAGGATAAAATGCTTCACTGAGGGGAAAGACTAAAAACTATTCCTGAAATGGGTTTTATCTAATTCGATTTATACAGAATAATTTGCCAGCTCTTTCCCTTCTTATTCTCCATCTCTAACTTGGGTGGGCAAGTGCTTTATTTACGTAAAACACACGCCTAGCAGGTCCTGACCACAGTACTGAGCACCCGAGGAAATGGCACAGCTGTCTGGCCTCCCTGAAGCACCCATGTTGCTGCCAGACAAGTTTATTAGTTTGGTTCTTGGCCTTGAAGAAACAAAGAAATTCATTCAGGTGCCAGTAAGCGGCTGGTACTAATAGTGTAGGGGAACACAACATTTTAGGGAGGCACATCAGAAACTGAGGGCAGAAATATTACCCATATGGGGTCAGGCTCCAGAAAATGCCAGGCTGTCCAGGAAGAGGAGATCCAGATCAGATGAAGGCCTCATGGATAACAGGTCATAATTCAAGAACTGGCAAGCAGGTCTAAAAAGAGGTTATCATGTCCCCTCAGCAGCAGGAGGCCCCAACCTGCTGACTCTGCTTCTGCTCCCCCTAATCTCACTGCCCTCTCATCTTGATATCTGTTGATTCACAGACCCCTTTGAAAACCAGATGAAAGAAACCCAAGGACTCTCTCCTCAAGATAAATGTGCACATGGACAAACGTCTGCCTACAATTCAAACTTTACAAAGCCTTAAACTCACTCTGAGCTTTTGTCACTGTTTCTCTGAGTGGCACTCTGTAGGACTATCCCTACTAAGCACTGATCCTCCCTACAGTCTCAATCCAAACTTCCTTCTAAGAGAGGATCTCATTGATTTGGTCCCCCACTATTCAGTGGGCAATGCTTTAATGCTGAACTCTACATGACACTAATCCACCCAAGATTGACTACCTTTGGGTCAGGCACCCATGCGATGGCAGTGTTTAATTGTCACTAAGCAAAGTGACCTAAACTCAAAGGCTGCATTTGTTTTGGTAGAGTCTATAGGAATAGCACGTTCCCTCAGAAAGGGGGTATGGGCATGGCAGACATCTGAGTACAATGGACTTCCCTATGCAAAACAAAAATAGAAAAAAATGGGGGATAAGTGCAAACCCTCACATGCGTCACAGATTAAATTTTAAATATTTATATTTAATGGCTGACTAATGGTTGAAGGGATGCCAAAAAAGAACAGTAAAGGTGGCATAAGATAGACTATTGAAGTTTTACATTTATATTGCATTTTATAAGAAAAAAGAGAAATGAGCTGGCAGAAAGAATGAATGAAGCATATCCTGGTGGGCAAAGGGGTGTCTAAAGGCCGATCGATGGCAAGGAATTGGAAGAAAAGGGAACTCTTGAAGACCAAGCAAAGGAATCTGGATTTAAGAGAACTGTGTAAGACACCACAGATTTTCTAGCAAAACTGTTATGTGCACAGTATAAATCATCCTTAAACAGTTCTGTGGTTGAAGATGGACACAGGATGGACGGGAGTGAGGCAGTCCACCAGCAATGAGTACAGGGCTTCCTCTGCTTCTCAGGGCGTTCATTTTCAACTTACTGTTCTATATCCAAGATAATGATGCTACTCAAGGTTGCTTCCCTTTAGCTAATACACAAACTCAGACAATAAGGCTTTTGAAAGTGTCCCATATGAGAATCTTACAGTTGCCTTATTTTTACATATGAAGACCTAAGAACCAAGAGAACATCTACAGATATAATAATAAGGAAAGAAGACCTGTGCCATGTTGGAGGCACGGGGGAGGAGTGGGAATTGGTTTCTTTCTAGCACCAACACCAAGGTAGAATACTCAGCAAGATAAACAGTCGTTAAACACATACTACATAAGTGCTTCTCCAAAACAGCTTAGTTGTAAACATGCTAGGTTGAAGCATATGAACACAGAATGTGCCAAACCTCTATGCCAGTAAAGCTGACAGTGAGTATAACCTCCCATCTTACAACGTATATGCCAACACTGTGTTCTCTGTACCAAAAAATGAACTGAATTTAGCTGCTAAGGTAAGTTCACCTGGCTATTATTAAGCTGTCAAGTTTCTTTTTATTTCTAAAAGCAAGGAAAACAGAATGATTTATAAATACTAAAGACAGACCCTACCATGCACATCAGAACTAGAAAAAGAAAGCTCACAGTTTGGAATTTTTAACCTTATTTGTTGTTGCTGCTGCCCCTTCTGAGAAATGTCCAGATTTCCTAGATATATCTTCTTGTACAGAAACATTAAATTACCTTTAAGTTGACATGAAGGCCACCCATAAACCCCCTAAAGAAAATTTAAGACAGTCCTGGGGTCATCAATGAGTATATGGCTGGCACAGGGTTAGGAATTAGACACAAGAAACTTCTCTCTGGTGTGTCATACAGGATAGTTTGTTTAGAGACCATTATGGTGAACCCCAAATTACTCTTTCTGGCAATTCCTTTTTTTTTTTTTTGCATTTTTAATTTTTTATTCTTATATTATCCCCATACATTACATCATTAGTTTTAGATGAAGTGTTCCATGATTCATTGTTTGTGCACAACACCCAGTGCTCCCTGCAGAATGTGCCCTCCTCAATACCCACCACCAGGCTAACCCATCCTCCCACCCCCCTCCCCTCTAGAACCCTCAGTTTGTTTTTCAGAGTCCATCGTCTCTCATGGTTCGTCCACCCCTCCGATTTCCCCCCCTTCATTCTTCCCCTCCCGCTACCTTCTTCTTCTTCTTTTTTTCTTAACATATATTGCATTATTTGTTTCAGAGGTACAGATCTGAGATTCAACAGTCTTGCACAATACACAGCGCTCACCATAGCACATACCCTCCCCAGTGTCTATCACCCAGTCACCCCATCCCTCCCGCCCCACCCCCCACTCCAGCAACCCTCAGTTTGTTTCCTACAATTAAGAATTCCTCATATCAGTGAGGTCATATGATACATGTCTTTCTCTGATTGACTTATTTCGCTCAACATAATACCCTCCAGTTCCATCCACGTCGTTGCAAATGGCAAGATCTCATTCCCTTTGATGGCTGCATAATATTCCATTATATATATATATACCACATCTTCTTTATCCATTCTTCTGTCGATGGACATCTTGGCTCTTTCCACAGTTTGGCTATTGTGGACATTGCTGCTATAAACATTGGGGTGCACATACCCTTTCGGATCCCTACTTTTGTATCTTTGGGGTAAATACCCAGTAGTCTGGCAATTCCTTTTTGACAGCAGTAGTCAAATTACCCATGGTAACTCAGCAACTGTAAAGCCCTACAGACTTCGATGGCAAGTAGGTAACCCTTTAAACAGGGTTTCCAAACCTTGGCACTACTGACATTTTGGGCCAGAGAATTCTTTGGTGCTAGAGGTTCTTGTGTGTACTGCAGAATGCTTAGCAGCATCCTGGGCCTCTACCCACCAGATGCCAATAGCACACACAGCCCTCCCCACACTGTCCCACTGGGACAATCAAAAGGGTCCCTAGATATGGGGCAGGGGTCGGGGCAAAATTGCTCGACAGAGAACCACTGTTTAAGGGCAAGTGGGAACAGGAACTCAGAGTGGGAAGCCCCTCATTGTCCCACTACAGCTAATGTCAGATCATGAAACAAATCCATGTTAGTTATAAATAGTGTTTAGACTGTAAATTTACATAACACAATTATCAAGACTAGAAAAGACTATACTCTATTGTTATTTCAAGGGCTTTACATATAATGAACTTTTTTCAATTAGATGCATTTCTAAATCCATCTGTTTAAAAACAAACCTTTTAATTCAAATACAAAGCATGTATATTAGTATACAGGGCTATCATTTCAGAATTAAAAATGTAATAAATTATTGGCAATGCTTTCTCAATTTGTAGAAATATGTAACACAAGAGTATTTTCACTGTTTATCTGACAATTCAAACATAACTTTCTCATTACCTTAAAACAATCTTTTAATAAGCGTACCTTTAATTAATATTGTTGAAATCATAAAAAGACCTATCCTGTAGAAATACCAAACATACCACTTACAGATATGTACTTTCCCTCTAACCAATAATCAAGTTAGTCATTATTCCCATATTACCATCCATCCGTTCATCCAAAGAATTATAGAACATTTACTATAAATCAGGGATTGCTGCTAAAATTAAATGATAAATGAACTCAAGCTCTACCTCTTGAGAAGCTTAGAGTCTAAAGAAACAAACAGATGGGAAAACATATATTTATAATACAATGCAGTCAGGCAAGGTTTCAGAGTGGGAGCAAACAGGAGCTGAATTTTGCAAGGTGAAGAGGAGCAAAGGGAGGATATCACTGTTTTAATGTGTTGGCATAGAGAGGGTCTTTTATTTTTTTTAAGATTTACTTATTTATTTGAGAGAGAGAGCGCCTGAGCCAAATCAAGAGTTGGATGCTCGGGGCGCCTGGGTGGCTCAGTTGCCTTCGGCTCAGGTCATGATCCTGGAGTCCCGGGATCGAGTCCCGCATCAGGCTCCCTGCTCAGCGGGGAGTCTGCCTCTCCCTCTGACTCTCCCCCTCTCATGCTCTCTCTCTATCACTATCTCTCTCAATAAATAAATAAAAATCTTAAAAAAAAAAAAAAGAACTTATTAAAAAAAAAAAAGAGTTGGATGCTCAAGCGACTGAGCCACCTGGGCACCCCAAGAAAGTCTTTTAAAAGCATGTTATAGAAGCCAGGAGCCACAGAGGAAAAGGATTAATAAATTGGGTAACATAAAAAATTTTAACTTCCATATAATTCAGTAAATGTACATACAATAAACAATGCTATAAGGCAAATGACAAATGGGATGTGACAAATGGTAAATGTTTGATATTACAAGTATTAGTACACAAAGAGCTTTTAATCATTTTAATGTTTTAATAATTCCTGTAACTGAATTTTCACAAAACATATCATCCTGTTTCAGTGAAGGGGTTCTCTGCATCTCTGCAGCACCTTTTATTTTTTAAGCTATTTGGAAGAAATGTCCAAGAGCAAGTGACTTACTTGCACACCCTTCAGTACTGAAATCAAGAACAGGCTGGCCAGTATCATTCTATAGGGAGAAACCTAAAGTTAAATGAGCTATTTCTTTTCTTTTCTTTTTTTTTAAATTCAAGTTGGACTTTTTTTTTTTTTTTTTTTTTAGATTTTATTTATTTATTTGCGAGAGAGAATGAGAGACAGAGAGCACGAGAGGGAGGAGGGTCAGAGGGAGAAGCAGACTCCCCGCTGAGCAGGGAGCCCGATGCGGGACTCGATCCCGGGACTCCAGGATCATGACTTGAGCCGAAGGCAGTCGCTTAACCGACTGAGCCACCCAGGCGCCCAAGTTAAATGAGCTATTTCTAATTTAATGGAATCAAGGCTAAGTCTGAAAAAGGGAAAGCAGAGACATTTTATGACAATACAAATATAACAACAGAGATCATTTAATTGAGATATTATTAAACTGGTTATGTGCAGGCAGTGCTCTTAAGAAACTAAAAGTAATTATCCATCTGGGAAAAAATTCAGTCTTGACCCTTAGCACAACCATACACCAAAAATTTCAGATCAATTACTGAAGTGTGAAAGGTAAACTATAAAAATCTCAGAAGTAAAACATTTCCATGGACATAGGGTAGGCAAAATTTTCTCAAACAAGACACAAAAGCCCTAAAGACTACATTAAAATTAAGAATTTCTCCTCATCACAAGATACCATTAAGAGAATAAAAAGACCAGCAGTGAGTGGAGGAAGTTACCTGTAAAACACGTATGCAACAAAGGATTCCTACCCAGGATGCTGTGAAGACTTCTACAAATAAGAGCCAGACAACCCAACAGATAAATGGGCAAAAAAATTTGAACAGACACTTTACAAACAGCCAGCAAACATGTGACAAGGCATTCAACTTTGTCAGTCAACATAAAAATGTAAATTAAAACCACAATGCTCCCCCCACAGTACACTATCAGGATGGGAGGCACCTGGAACTCACCATGTGTAGGTGAGAATGTAAATAGGTACATCCACTTAAGTTATGGGCAGTAGGAACTAAACCCATGATCTAGCAATTCCATACCTAGGTCTATGCCCATCAGAAATACATTATGTTCACCCAAAGACATGTGAACAATGCTCATAGTTGCACTACATTAGCCAAAACCTAGAAACAGTTCATCCCCAGGAGAATGGGCATACAAGCGATGAGAATAAACCACCTATTGGTTCACCCACCACATGAATAAATCTCACAAATATATTGTTGAATGGAACAAGTCAGTCACAAAATAAAATACACTGAGTGATTCCATTTATGTGAAGTATAAAAGTATATACTTTTGTAAAGTATAAAAACAGGCAAAATGAGTCTATTGTGGTTATCTTTGGGGTTGGATAATAACCAATGGGGCATGAAAGAGGTTTGTGTGGGGCTGGAATATTCTGTCTCTTGATCTTGGTACTTGTTGCACAGGTAGATGGAATCATTCTGAAAATTTATCAAACCGTACAATTAAGAATGGTGCACTTTTCTGTATACACATTTCAATAACCAGTTTTTCAAAAACAAAACAAAACAAAACACTACAGCTAGGTAGCAGAGACAATTCTTGGAAAATATAAACTGGACTACTGAGACAGGCCTGACTACATTTTTTCTAAGCCCGGTGTTCCAATTAGAGACCTGTGAAGAAGCCAGTTCCCTGCATGCTTCCCTTCACTTCCCAGCTTTCCTCATTCAGACAGATGCCCGCCTTCCACAGGCACTGCACATCAATAAGCTCACTGAGCACCTCTGTGTGCCAATTAATGTGCTGAGCACCGAGGACAGCGAGAGGTCAGCCACGGTTTGCTCACGGACCTGACCAGCAGGAACCACGTCTGATCCTATTCCTCTTGCCTCGGCATCCAGCAGGACGTTTTATACTGAGGAGGCCCTCCGTAAACACGGACTAGTCATATATACCTCCAAACAACTGGAGCACAAACACAGCCACAGAGAACGCACTTAGAAGTGCCAAGAGCTCACAGGATCAGAAAGGCTGCCTCCAGCTTCACTCGGCACACGGGCGTGGAGCTGTTTGGGGCAGCAGTGGGCAGATAGAGCGAATGGTCTGGAAGGAAGCTCCAGCTGGCACACGCAGCGCTAAGTGCAAGACCTTTTCAGAGACAGGAGACTGGACAAGGCGAGGAGGCATGGAAGCTGGAGAGCACGGAGTGTAGTGCCTGACAGTCAGGGAACGGGGGCTGGGTGAAGGAGGAAAGCAAACTTGCTTTTTCAGTAGGTCAGGGCACAGCTCGGGTAGTAGTATTTTCCAAAAGCACCAAAGATGACTGCTGTTTTTCAAAGGTTAGGAATCATGCACTATGCCAGGCTTCCTACTTCACTGTGGGCAGACAGATGAGGAAAAGGATGGGAAAAGGCACATGATTAAATACACTTTTAGTCCCCGGTCAACATTTACCTTTAATATGCCAAGTATTTTAGAATTCTCCAAAATTAAAAGTTATATGCAGCTCATCATAAATCTAAGAAACAAAGCCATTTATATGAATTTCAATTCCAAATTCTCCCTTATGTTAAGTGAGGAGCGCCTGGCTGGCTCAGTCGGTAGAGCGTGTGACTCTTGGTCTCGGGGTAGTAAGTCCAAGCCCCACGATGCGTGTAGAGTTTATTTAAAAAGATAAATAAAATCTTTTTAAAAATGTGAGTTGCTTCAAACTCTGGGCAAGTTAAGCATCTTGAGCTTCAATTTTCTCACTTGTAATGAGAAGCTTAAAACACATGGCCCTTAAGGAATTGCCTTTTGACTCTGATGGGGCAAATTTCCACATGTGACAATTTTAGAAACAAGAATTTGTGATGAGCATGTGAATTCTCTTACCTCCCACTGCCTGTAGGAGGCATCAAAAATCCCTTACTAAAATTATTCTGTGGTCATTTTTTCTACTGACTCTGTCTAATTCATCGGACATTTAACATCCAGAGCAATAGATTCTGAATCACAAACTCCAGAGTTGTGTTCTGTGCTGTGGGTAACCGATGAGATCACTTGTATTTCTTTCCGACCAAAGTAGCAAAGTCACTACTATGTGTACCCAAACACATCACCCGGGGCTGCAATACCATAGTAAAATAACATTTGCTAATGTGTCTGGTCAGGAAACTTCAAAAAGCGTGGGAGCTTGGGGGTTTCAACAGCTTGTGATTTTGCAGAGGCAGCTTTGTATATAAACCCCAATTTTTTCCTGTAGGTGCTTTTGTAACAGTAATGCCAACTGCCTTCTTTTAGGCAAACTCCTGCCGAATTCCAGAGGTGTTGTTTGGCCACAATCAAGCTGAGGCACTGACTTGAAGAATGATTAATCACAGATGAATTAGCTTTTTGTTTTTTTTCTGACATTTCCGAACCCTTTCTGATGTTTCAACTATCTGATGTCTGGCCATGTCATGCTACCAAAGCAGACTGCCTGAAATCACTGTTTACTTTGGCCTGCATACAAGTCTGGACAAGGATTTAGTCAAAACACCTCTTTCAGATCACAGAATGGCCTCACAGCAGCACCCTGAGAGACAACACGGAGAAGAAATTTTAAAAATTATACCTAACATCATTTCTATATACTCCAATTTTTACTTTCAAAGGAAATCAAACAGTTTTGAATTGTATGGAAAGGGGTCAAAATAGAGAATATGAACCAAGCTTTACATGTAAATACTAAACATTTCGGAAGCACAGGAAAATTCATTTAAAAAATACTTAGAAAACAAACCAAACAGATTTAAACCAACAGCTTGATTTTTAAAAGTATATATAATAATACTGTGTGTATACATACTATAAACTATATAACATATAAACTATATAATGCATATATAAAATAAATAAACACAAAGCAACAGCTCAGTTTCCAAGAAATACTGGTGGTTAGGCCGAATGAGGGGAAAGCCTGCTCAGGTGTCCACTGCAGGCCATGTGCTCTAGGAAGTGACCCCTCCCATCACTGATCAGAGTTGCACAGGGTCCCATCCTCCTTGCCAGGGACTGGCACAGGCACAGACAAGAGGCACAACTCTGACAAGTAAAATGAGTGATGTGGGCTGGGAGACTTCTTGGTAAGGTTTCCCTTAATTTAAAAAGAGATACAGACAACCTCACACACTTTGGGATATCTACTGTCAAACAAAACCAGAAAATAACAAATGTTGGTGAGAATGTGGAGAAATTAGAATCTGTGTGCAGAGCCACTATGGAAAAAACAGTAGGGTGGGTCTTCAAAAAATTAAACATAAAATTGCCATAGCACCCATTTCTATTCATGTCAGCCAGCTCCTGAGCCCCCAAACTGGTACTGATATATGCTAAAACTGTATCAAGTCCCATTAACATGGCCACAATTATTACAAGTTAATGTGAATAATGATAACGTATCAAGCCCGTTCCTTTCATTAATGACGATTTTCCAGCTCTCATTAAATCTTCTCTAACTATCCTGTGCCTTACATCTAAGACTACAGGCACAAACAAAACACATCTTACTAAGGAATGCTTATGTAAATCAGCCTTTACACATACACACACACCAGCAAAATCAAAAGAATAAAAATGTGTTTTAGGGACTAGGAGGCACAAAAATATAACTGCTGTAAACTAGCAAACCATCGAGGAGGATTTATGGCAACAAGTGCCATCTATGTAACTATGAGGATGACCACATGGTGATTTTCATCTTCATCTTGCAGTGCTCATCATTACCATTAGCAAGACAACCAAAATCAAAATTCATCATCATGTTAAGAAATGCCTTGTAGGCTCAAGTCAGGGTATTAAATGAAACGCCTTACAAAGATGAATTTCCATAAGCCAACTGGGCACATCCCTAGGCATGACTGCATATGAAAATTAAGTGACTTTGCCAAAACTCTCTCACACTGAGCCATCAGAAGCTTCTCAGATCAGTTCAGCTCACTTAAGGGTCAATTCTGGGTCTGAACAGCTCCACAGAGAATGATTTCTATCTACGTGGACATCTACATCTCTAACTAGTCATCTCCATCCTATACCATGTGCTTTAGTCATCTGTTGCTGAGTAACAAACCACTCCAAATCTTAGTGGCTGAAAACCACAATAATTTATTATTCCTCCTGATTCTGTGAGTTGGCTACGGCTCAGTTAGGTGGTTCTTCTGACGGTATCTCTTAGGCTCACTCAGGCAGCCGTATTCATTCAGCAAGCAGGGCTAGAGCTGAAACATCCAAGATGGTCTCAGGCCTCCCAGGTGGTGTCTCTTGCCAGCAGGAGTTGGCCCTTTTACATGATGATGGCTGGCTCCCAAGACAGAGGAAGGGAAAGCTGCCAGTCCTCTTAAGGCCTGGGCCTGAAGCCCCAGAGAGTGCTTTCCCATGGTATCCTGTTAGTTAGTGCAAGTCAGAAGGCCAGTCGAATCAGGGCAAGGGAAACAGAATCTACTTCTGATGGATGCAGCAGTATGCACATACACGGTGAGAAGAACTGATGATGGACACACACCCTGGAAACCATCTACCATGCATGGTCCTCCCTACACATAAAGATAAACTCGTCATTTCAGCATACCCTCATTAAAACTCATTACTCAATAAAAAGAGAGCAGGTAAAACCAGCCCTTTTGTGTATCTCAGACCTGCTGTTAAATACTTTCGTTTGCCCTACTTCATATAAGTGTATTATATGGTGAAGGCTGTAACTTAACATGTCTAAATCTACACAAGAAAATCCAAATGAAACATTGTTCTAGTTTCAGGTACAGTTACGTATCACTGGGTGTCACTGGGCGATTATTATCTTCATGTCCCCTCAGCTGTGACCTCCATTAGGGCAGAGCCCACATCTGCACTGTTTACAGCTGTATTCTCAGTGTCTGGAGTGTACCAGGAACTAAGACACTGCTGCTTCTCAATATTAATATTCCTGTTTTAAGATACATTCCTTTTTTAATACCAGATAGAAATATACAGATTTTTCCACGTACATTTTACAGTGTGGCAAAAATACTCCATTACTAATGCTCTAAACACTTAGTTATGCTCCAAGAAAGAAGATACACTTTTAACTATTACTGTAGTTATATGCTAAATTTACTCTCACTGAATCTTGAAAATGAGAGATTTTACAATAGTGTGCAATTCATTTTCCGTGAGTTACCTTTTTTGTTGGTGTCTAGTTCTGGACCTTCAAATTGCAATGAGAAATATTCATGCTTGAACCAACATCTACCTTACAATTTTGAACAGCACATTTCTGATTGAGAATTCCCACTTTTACAGGCAGTTGTGCTGTTCCTTCATAACTGAGGGTTCTCATTTGCTGAAAATATAATAAAATATCCTTTGATGAAATGAAAACATCTACAAATGGAACAAAATAATCACTTTATTCTGCCCACAAACATCTGAGCTCAGACTTTTTCTGCCCTAAATGGACAAGGCCAAAACCAACAGATACCCTGCAGCGCAACACAGGAATTATTCTGGAGAGGTTCACCTTTTTGCAGCACCAACCCCAACAGAGTTCAGTGCCACTTTCCTCCAAACAAAAGATAAAAGTGTCCACAATTCTGCAAATTTTCATAAAGTGAGGCAGTATTGGTATACACTAGCATAAGCCTCTGCTTTTCCCCAGCATCTGAACTGAAAAGTATGGCTAATAGCACAAGCAGGCCACTTAGAAATCTGGGTGCCATTTATTAGTACATAAACACAGAACTTCGACAGGTCTCAACAAAAGCACAGGTAATGTTTTTGTGCATGCTACCCACCTGGGTAGGTTCTATCCTACCAGTCAGTGCAAGAAGATTCTATACTCAAATTGAGATAAAAACACAATATATCTCAGAGCACCTGGCTGGCTGTTTGTAGAACATACAACTCTTGATCTCAGGGTCGTGAGTTCAAGCCCCACACTGGGCACAGAGCTTACTAAAAAAGAAAAAAAAAAGCAAAAACAAAACACCCCACAATATATCTCGTTTCTATATCATTCCCATTTTACAGTTGCAAAACCAAGACCAGCTGTAATTAAGCAACTTCTCCAAACTGTTACACACTCCTGTACCACTACCTCCCTTTGATATCAGAATATTTATCAATACTCCATGATATCCAGTCATATTCCCTTAGAACCACCTATGTGTCTTACTAAGTTCTAATCTATTTGCAAAGCAGAAGCTGTCCTAGTCACACTCAGTAAATACTTGTTAAACAAAAGGGAGTTTCTTGACCCACAGCACTAGTATTTCTTCTCATTAATCCAACAAATGTCTATTAAAAATTAAACATCTATTGTGTGGCAGGCACACTTTTAGGTACTTGGCATACATGATGAAGATAAACATCAGAAGTCTCACAAACGTATACACAGGAGACAGACTTGAATTTTGGGAAGAAACATAGAATGCTAAGGAAGCTGGGTATGGGTGGGTAGGTGAGTGGTCAAATCTAGTCTTGGTGTCCAGTATAGATTACTGGAGCAAGTCACCGCTAGGCTGAGAAATGATGGAGGAGGAGTTTGCAAGCATGGAGGATGGGTAGAGGGAGATTGAAAAACAAGAGATCAGTAAGGATAAAGGCCCTCGGGTGGGAAAACCCAGCTGAAAGACTCCGGTTAGTCAGCCTTCAATGTTCAGGACCCAGATAACAAAATGTAGATATGAGCTTCTTCAATAGAGTGATTCTTAATTTAATAAACAGAAATTAGCTAACTTAAAATGAGAAATAATCATCTTTCCAGTTATTACGCGCTCAGATGTGAAAAATTAATCTGGTGCAGTGGTTCTCAAGCTTGACTTCACATTAGAATCTCCTGAGCATTAAAAAAAAAAAAAATGACGTCCATGGTTTGACCCCCAGCCAATGAATCAAAATCTTGGAAGGTAGGGGCCCACGTACTGGTATTTTTAAAAAAGTTCCTCAGGTCATCCTGAAATACAGCCAGAATGGCTAACAGCAGCAACTCAAAAGGAGACGAGCACTAGCTGTCCTCCAGTCTCATCCTGAAATGACCACTCGTCTTCCCATTGGCCGACTTCCTGTCAACCAAATCTCAGTCTAAACGTTATGCCTCTGAAAGGCTCCCCCTGACCCCACTCGAAAGGAGCCACACCTAATAAGTATTTACCACATCACACAGTGCTCATTCCTATCTGTTTGTCTTCTTTATTAACTTGTTGTGGGTCCTTGAGACTAGGGATCTTGCCTGTATTGTTCATTGCTGCATTTCCAGCAGGAGCTCAGTAAGTGAATGAAGGAAAAAAAGATCAGATGGGCACTGGGGTATCTCTCATGCAAATGGAATTTAAAAATAATATCCTGAAGCTATAATTCTGACAAATTTCGGTTGGGTATGATTAAGCCAGACAGATTGAACAGTATGGAGAGCATTTTTTAATTCTTAACTAAAAACCAGATATGAGCCAGACTTCTATTTCCAAGCAGAGCTCGACTTAGGAAAGAGACTGAGTAACATACAACATTTAGTCTGGCCTGGAGTCAACAAAGGTGGATAAAAAGTCTTCATACAGGGCGCCTGGGTGGCTCAGTCATTAAGCGTCTGCCTTGGGCTCAGGTCATGATCCCAGGGTCCTGGGATCGAGCCCCGCATTGGGCCCCCCGCTCCGCGGGAAGCCTGTTCTCTCTCTCCCACTCCCCCTGCTTGTTTTCCCTCTCTCGCTGTGTCTCTCTCTGTCAAAAATAAATTAAAAATCTTAAAAAAAAAAAAAAAAGTCTTCATACAGAGGAAGGGGTGATGAAAATATGGTCAACATTTCCATGAACAACAACAACAACAAAAAATAAACAGGTTAAAATATGGAGCAATTAAGCTTAGGTATAAGGAAAAACTCACTGAGGGAAAAATCCTGTGACACTAGAGTGGCCATTACAGATGGGAAGTAAAAGTGAAACTTCTCCAAGTCCCTAAGATTGGCATAAAAATACTTCTGTTTAGAAGGGGTCATGCACAAGTACACAAAGGCAGATGAATATATAGGATGGCTAGACTTTTCTTTTGAGTGTTATTATTGTACTACAATATCCAGAGTATGTGAGTTTCCTACCCTGAATTTATTTAGATCTGGTACCACAAAAATGAGCTAGAAGGAGAGAACACTAGTAAAAACAGTACCAAGTAAGTATTTTTGGGAAAAGAGAAATATATTCATGCTTTTCTTTCCAAAGAGAATATATGTTTAGACCTATCAACTAAATTAACAATTCAGGCATAAAGGAAATATTTGAACGATTAAATTCACAAGTTACGTACAACGTACACTTAAATACGGGAATTAAATGCCAGCAGGAAGCCTTGCCAGAAGACCTGGGCTATGTCAGCATAAAACCAGCAAGGTATTGTGTATCACCCTTCTTTCAAAGCCAGTTTTGCTTCTAGGATCTACAGTTTCTAACAGTGGAAGCATCCCTTCCCCAGACATTCAGCACTTAACCTCAACGCTCTGGAGCCACTTTTGTTCATTCCCACATTTAGTTCATCACCATGTTTTGTGGATTATTCATTTGCATAGAGAAAAAAAAAAGAGGGAGGGGAAATTTATGGATTAAAAAGATTTACAAGACCCATCAACCAAATGTACAGACCTCGTGTGGGTTCTAAGTCAAACAAACTAAAAAATATTTTGAGACAATCAGAAAATATAAGCACTGACTAGAGGTACAGGAGGATATTTAGAAATACTGTTAATGCTTCTGAGGTGTGATGCTGAGACTGTGATTTTGTTTTCAAAATGCTGTTATCTTTTAGAAATACACATTAAAAAATGTGCAGATGAAATGATATTCTGGATTTGTTCCAAAATATTTCAAAAGATGATGGAGGTAGGAATAGGGATGAACAAACAGATGAAATACGAGGTACTGCAAATTGCTGAAGCTGGGTAATGGGTACAAAGGGGTTCGATTACACTTTTCAATTTGGTTTATGCTTTTAAAATACCCATAACTTTAAAAAAATGGTAACTTACACATATGAATATGTTTTTTGATTTCCACATGCCATGTTCTTGGCTCTGAAACCTCAATGACTCCCAACTGCTTAAATACCTCAGAATAGCTTTCAAGTCCTTCAGAGTCCTTTGGTTACCCTTTTTTATATGACTATGTCATGGGCAAGGTCACCTGCCAATCCTTACTTGTCTGCTCCTTCTCTCTGACCTATGCTTCCCCATCTGCCTACTCGATACCAGGCCACTTAACCAAACCATTCTCCTAATCTGTTTTCACGTAAAATACCCCCAATCCTCACCAAGATTACAAGTTTTAAGAGGAAGATTCATGTTTACATCTTTTTGCCTCTTCAGAGCAACACTTATTCTGGGTGGCTCAGTCATTAAGCGTCTCCCACTCTCCCTGCTTGTTTTCCCTCTCTCGCTGTGTCTCTCTCTGTCAAAAATAAATTAAAAATCTTTAACTTGGACTTAGAAGGGGTGACGAGTGAGTTAATGAAGGAAATCACTACTCCTTCATATTGCTCTACAGTTACCAGAGTTTTTACATACAGTAGGCTGCTAATCCTTAGAAAACATCAAAGAGTTTAATTAAAGACAGTCATAAAAGATAAAACTTTTTTTTAAAGGGGAATTCTGACATACAGTTAAATCTCACAATAATACGATGAATTATAAAGTCAGAGCAATAAAGGCTGTGGTTCTCACTACAGAAAGCTTCATTTCTGAGGCAGCAAAGTGATTTCCTTCATTAACTCACTCGTCACCCCTTCTAAGTCCAAGTCCTATACGCCCTGAGACAAAAATCATATTAAAGATTAATTTTTCTATGATGAAAATCTTACAAACATTTGCATTATTATTATTATTATTATTATTATTGAAAATACCTCACTGCTTACATTGAGCTCCAGTTTTTCTGGACTGTGACTGGGTCCAAAGGAAACAAAGCTAAAATGGAAGGGAAGGAGAAAAAAATGGAGGGTGGGGGAAGGGTTAGGATGCACCCAGGCAAGGTAGATTCCTAGTGGCTGTGCTGTTCTACCCCAAGTAAGCAGGCCCTACTGAATGTTCTGGAATAGCTGGGACTTCTATATATTTGGTTAATTTCTACAGATCATTCTGTACTAAGCATATATTAAGTGCCTATGTGTCCAGCACTGTTTTAGGCAATGAACAAGCCAGATTCCATGAAAAGTTTAAAACACATTTAAAAATAATTCATTATATACATTGTAAATATACAAGCGAGTTAAACTAATATGATTAGAAACCATAAAAGCATTAATGTTCATGAACTGCATCTAGAGCAGACACGCATGAAAATCAGCTTTACCTTATATTTCATCTTGGGACATGAATGAATGTAGAAACCCATATAATAATAGCTGAGTTGAGATGTTTTCTGATGAAGTTGCCTAGTAAAACCAATTTCTCTGCCAAAAGAAGAATAAAGATGAAGGTACAGTTAAATCTTGTTCCAATACTCAAAGTACATGTAATTTGATGTCAAATATCTGATAACATCTGAAAATATAATGTTAAGCTATTAAGAAACTCCAAGTGTTGAAAGCAAAACAATTTTAAAAATGCTTTAAGGGGCGCCTGGGTGGCTCAGTCGTTAAGCGTCTGCCTTCGGCTCAGGTCGTGATCCCAGGGACCTGGGATCGAGCCTCACATCGGGCTCCCTGCTCCGTGGGAAGCCTGCTTCTCCCTCTCTCACTCCCCCCTACTTGTATTCCCTCTCTCGCTGTCTCTCTCTCTCTCTCTAATAAATAAATAAAAATCTTAAAAAAAAAAACCCAAAACTTTAAGATAGCTTGTACTAAAAAGACCTAAACAACTCTGAATTATTTTGAGCAAATGCATCTAAGTTCACATTTTACACTTTATTGAGCATACTAGTTGATCTAAAATTCAAACAGCATAAAAATAAAGAGATCTATTTAATACATTACTCATTGTCCCCTGGAGTTCTCAAAAGACTGGGTTTATCAAGTGAAAAACAGCACAGCAAGTTTTATAAAACTCAAAAACCAACACATTTCAGGAAGAATGACTATTATTATGACCATTTACATGCAAACATTTGCAACTATATATGATGTATAACTCCTTCCTACATCTAGATGTTACTCTAATATTTATTCTCCCTAAAACTAAAGAGTGGAAGAAAACTATGCTATCTCACCACTTTTTCTCTATTTGTTGGCATAGGCGAGGTTTAACTGAACAAAGACACTGTCAGCAATGCCCAGGCTTGAAGTGGTTTTAATTTGCATCCAGATAAATCTGGGCACAGAACTTCATCCTACTTGCCCAAATGAATGATTGCTTGTATTTGAGAGTTTTAAGGAAACTTCAGTACATTTCTAAAGTAGGAGAAAAGTTGTTTGTTTCGTTTTTATGTTTGTTTCTTGAAGGCCTGCTTTCTTTTTTTCTTTCCTTCTTTCTTTCCAATGAGTGCTTGAATTCAAGGAGAAATTTTTTAAGTGAATAGTCTATGCGTTTTCCAAGTTCAAATTTAAGTCACGGAAGGGTTGTGATCCTACAAATTCATCTTCTAAATCCAAGCAGACTGAACATTATTAGCCTATAATAGAATAAATCCCACTATTCCTAGAACTAATCCACTTTCGAGGTTCAAAGTGAGGAAGAAAGCACTGATACACCAACGCGGGACCACCCACCTCTGACGACGGCACTCCTTCCCTTGGTCCTGCATTGCCCCTCGCTCCCCCAGTTATTCAGGCCCAAACCTGGAGCCATCCTTAACTGTTCTTCTCCTCTCACTCCCATGTCCAATCCATCAACAGGTCCAGCTGGCCCCATCTCCAAAATATACCCTGAATCTGACCACTTCTCACTACCTCCACCTCAGCTATTCTGGTCCAAGCCAGCATAATGGCTCCCCTGGATGACTGCAACAGCTTCCTGACTGGCTTTCCAGGTTCCACTCTTGCCCCTCTGTAAATCCCACAGAGTGGCCTAAGTCGTTTTTTACAATATTAATCAGATCAGGTAACCTCCCCAAACCCTTCGCCTTCAAATTGGGTTGATATCACACTTAGACAAAATCGAACCTCCCTCCCATGACCTATCAAGCGCAGCTCCATTGGCCCCTCCTGCATCTCTGCCCTCCCTGCCTAACTCCTGTCTACATCCTACCCCATATCCTAGCCCGCAGGACTTATCTTCTCCATTCTGACCACCTCAGTCGTTGTACCACCCATATTTTTACCCTTAGATTTTTATTTAAACAGTTGGGTCCTTTATTTTTTCTTGGCTCCTCAAATGTCACCTGTCCAGAGAGGTCTTTCCTGACTGCCCTGTACAAAAAGGACCTCATACCTACCACTGTGATTTTATTTTTGTCACAGCATAATGGAGTATTTAAAATTATGTTGGTGGGCGCCTGGGTGGCTCAGTTGGTTAAGCGACTGCCTTCGGCTCAGGTCATGATCCTGGAGTCCCGGGATCGAGTCCCGCATCGGGCTCCCTGCTCAGCAGGGAGTCTGCTTCTCCCTCTGACCCTCTTCCCTCTCATGCTCTCTGTCTCTCATTCTCTCTGTCTCAAATAAATAAATAAAATCTTTTAAAAAATAAATAAATAAATAAAATAAAATAAAATAATGTTGGTATTCTAATTTACTGTCTGCTTTGACAAAGCTGGAAACCCTTATTCATTTCTATGAATTGTGTCCGAGACACATAGATTCTTCTCAAATAAACATCTGTTAGACAAATTAATTCATTTCTAAAATTCATCTTGCTAACAAAACATAAATAAATGTCATGCTCATGATCCCCAATTCAAACATTTTTTTAAACCTACAGACTAGGTTATATAAAAATCTATATTGATTATAGATTAAAATATAAAAACTATATTCATTTACAATTTCTTAAGAAATTAAAGAAATTAAGCAGATTTCATTGAAATATACTATAATCAATAATAGAACCAGCAATTTATAGCCTGTTCTCCCCAATTTTGCTTGGAAATAATCAAATTTCCTGGCTGCCTTTCCTCTTCTAGAAAACTCAGCAAATCATATTCTCAAGTACACTAAAAGGAAATGACAAAACTGTAATGCAGAGGCAATCTCCCTGCTTTCAACTGGCAATAACTTTCATGCTCCCAGGCTCCTCTGCTTCTTCCTCAAAGCTCTCCAGCTCTAGAATTTCAAGAGATATACCAAAGCAATAAATAGAACTCTTATAATTTTGCTGGGGGGGTGCCTGAGTGGCTCATTCATTAAGCGTCTGCCTTCGGCTCAGGTCATAGTCCCAGGGTCCTGGGATCGAGTCCCACGTCAGGCTCCCTGCTCAGCGGGGAGGCTGCTTCTCCCTCTCCCACTCCCCTTGCTTGTGTTCCCTCTCTCACTGTGTCTCTCTCTGTCAAATAAATAAATAAATAAAATCTTTAAAAAATAATAATAATAATTTTGCTGGGAATTGATTATTTACTACCTCAAATGCAGCAGGATTTCAATATTCCTTAGTTTATTGAGATATGAAATGTCATATACAGGTTGGAATTCACTATGTGGGAATAAATATTCTTGATATTTATCTGAGAAGTCTAAACAAATCTATAGCTACATACTGTAAAGTGATAGATACAAAAACAAAACAAGAAGGAAAACAACAATAATTTCAAAGTGTTGGCTGATTTTGGTCCAAAGAAAAAGTAGTTTTCTGAAATAAATATACACTTCTAAAGTTACAAAATGTAAATGCTTTAAATTATCAGTTCCAATATCACTGGCGTCATTATGTGTCATGAATATTCTTAGTTTATACACAAATGTAACTAAATACATAAGAAAAAATAAAAGATCATTACAGAGATCAGTTGTAAACACTGTATCATTGTGAATCTGCTATAACTTGGCATTAGTAGACATTAGGTTGAAAATACCAAGATGGAGAATTTTTCTTTACATTACAGACTACTGAAACACACAGAATCAATTATGGACCAGATTTTTTTACAAAAATCAAATGGAGATTAAAGAAAAATGCTAACTCTTCCACTTTTGTAATTCAGAAAAAAACACATACACAGCAAGTAAAATAAATAATCTCAAAGTGTATCTTCCCAAGATGTGAGAATGTGACCACTGGACACAGAGATTGGGAAAAGAGAAAACAAGGACACCATGAGAAAGAGAGAGTCCCAAGGTCCCAGACAAGCAACAGAAGAATAGTTTTCAATTCTCCTTCCCTTCTCGACCCCATATATACACAGACTAGAAGGCATAAAAATAGAACAAGTATTTTCATGGAGTAAGGCCCTAATCTTTCTCCCATCAGGACAATGCAAAGTATCTGTGCTGTGCTGCGTGTATTTGCAGCCATGGACATAAAAGGGAAATAATCTTTTGATGAGAGCCACAGAGTTAAGTAGACAGTTAGGGACTTCCCAGTCCTGTTCCATATACTTTCTCACATTACTTTATTTACATTAGATTCATTTAACCTTTAATTATGAAAAAACATACACAACAATGACAAAAATATGTAAATACTATAATATTTAAGGAACATTAAGTTGTTCCTGATAGAGCAGCTTAAATAAAGACATAAACAAAAAAAGCACCCCACAAACACAATGACTTGTCATATACTAGACGAGATGGATAACTTAAAAAGCTACGGAATTACCATCAGACATTGTCCTCAGTTCTAAAAGTGGTATTCTAAATACCAATATATACCAGACTACTATAGCAACAAAATTATGAACTATCAAGTAGGATTTCTGCTGTCATATGATGAACTCTAATCAAATGAGGAATTATCTGAAGTTCCATATAACTCATGAGAGCTGTCAAAAGTAATCTTACCGTAATGCAGAGTAGACACCCAAAGACAGGAATGAATAATCAGGATCGTAGTACAAATATACAGACGAGACACAAGATGGAAGGATGTCAATCACCCCCACAGCAATGATTCTTCCATCAAGCCAATACTGCTGGTGAAAGGAGCCATAACCACAATCTGGTCCATGAGGGGGATTCTCAGCCTGTGAGAAAGCAGACATACATATGAACAGTTTGTTTTCTTTATCTTTATATTAAAAATCTTAATAATTATCCCATTATACTTTTATTTTCCGTTATAACTCCTAAAATTCCCCATGTTGCCATCATCCTCTGCAGTCACAGCCTGTAAAACTTTTTACTTGTATAAACACTGACCGAACAAAAGAATGAGAAAAAGAAATAAACTTAAGATTTTTTTAACCTGTTTAAAAATTTAACAGTAGGAAATATAAATTTCACAGGATAAGTAAATATTAAACTATATTTTCTGTTCCACATAAAATTTGGGAAAGAAACGGTGTATGAGAGAAGATGGAGAACAGAAAAGGAGAGGCGGTGCATGAGAAGAGAACTGCCCCCATACTGCCAGCCAGGCCTGATCTGTGACGACCCTGCACTGAAAAGGCATATGATCCCATTATTTTTTCTAGGTAAGAGTTCTTGTGTAATTACAAAAGGGCTATAACACTTCCTCTTTCTGGCCAAAAGAAAATAAAGTTACTTCCTTACCATTATCTTTATGTAACTATAATCCACAAAAGAAATGAAGAGATTTCAGAATATTACCATTTATCTGTAAATAGTTGAGTGACATTTTTCATTTTAAAATTCAGTATGACTTTATATTTTTAAAGATTTATTTATTTATTTTTAGAGAGAAAGAAAGAGCACACGGGGGGAGCAGGGGAGGAGAGCTGAGGGAGAGGGAGAGAATCTCAAGCAGACTCCCTGCTGACCATGGAGCCTGACAGGGGGCTCAATCTCACAACCCTGAGACATCGTGACCTGAGCCAAAACCATGAGTAGGACGCTCAACCCAAATGAGCCACCCAGATGCCCCTAAAATTCAATATGATTTTAAATATAAACTGTTGCTAAATGAAAATCATAAAACAAAAATTATGACACATCATAAAAAATGCTTTGCTCTAGGGATGTTAGAGATTAACAATTTAAGTGAACAAATACAACAGCACATGTATATCATTTTCATACAGCTAAAATCACAGGTAATATGTATGAATACAAGTATGAGAATGAAGAAAAATGAAATAAGTTGGTCTACCAATATTAAAACCAGGAAAAAAAAAATTACAAGATAGGAAATCTACAGATCAGTATATCTCCTAACACAGATGCAAAAATGCTCACCAACGTATCAGTAAATCAAATCCAACAATGTATAAAAAGAATTAGATCTGTATGTGACAAAGTGAGATTTATTCCAGGTACAGAAGGCTGGTTCAACATTAGAAAAATAATTTTTTAAAAAAAGCAATTAATGTAATCCATCATGAAAACAGGCTAAAGGAAAAATCCTATGATATATCAACTGACACAGAAAACACCTCTGACAAAATCCAACATCCTTTCATGACTAAAAACTCAACAAACGAGGAAGGGAAAGGAACTTCATCAACTTAATAAAGAACATATACAACAAATCTACAGCTGACATCATACTTAATGGTAAGAAAATGGATGCTTTCCCCAATAAAATCAGGAACAAGGCTATGATACCCTCTCTCATCACTCCTATTCAACATCATAATGGAAATCCTAGCTAGTGTAATAAAATAAGAAAAGGAAATAAAAGGTATAAAGATTGGGAAGGAAAAACAAAAACTGTCCTTATTCACAAATGACATGATTTATTATGTAGAAAATCCAAAGAATCAACAACAAAAAATGGAAATAATAAGCAATTATAGCAAGGTCACAGGACACTGCGTTAACATTCTAAAGTCATTTGCTTTACTATATACCAGCTATAACTGGAATTTGAAATTAACAACCCAATACCATTTGTAAAACCAAAAAAATTACATGGCTAAGTATAAATCTAACAAAATATGTACAGAATATATATGCAGAAAATTCTGACAGAAGGAATCAAAGAAGAGGTATTACATGTTCATGAGTCTTCATCGGAAGACTCAATATTGGCAAGATGTCCATTCTTCTTAGCTGGTTCACAGATTTAATGCAATCCCAATCCAAATCTCAGCCAACTACTTTGCGGATATCAACAAATTTATCTAACGTTTAAATATTTATTTATTTATTTATTTGACAGAGAGAGACAGCGAGAGCAGGAACACAAGCAGGGGGAGTGGGAGAGAGAGAAGCAGGCTTCCCGCCGAGCAGGGAGCCTGATGTGGGACTCGATCCCAGGACCCTGGGATCATGACCTAAGCTGAAGGCAGACGCTTAACGACTGAGCCACCCAGGCACCCTATCTAACATTTATATAAAAAGGCAAAAGACCTAGAATAGGCAACATAATACTGAAGAACCAAGTTGAAGGCCTGACACTACCTGATATCAAGACTTAGGATAAAGCTGGGGCACCCGAGTGGCACAGGTGGTTAACCGTCTGACTCTTGGTTTCTGCTCAGGTCATGATCTCGGGGCCATGAGAGCCCCGTCTGTGTTGGGTTCTGCGCTCAGTGCAGAGTCTGCTTGAGATTCTCTCTCCCTGCCCCTCCCACTTGTAAGTGCGCTCTCTCTCTCTCAAATAAATAAATCTTAAAAAAAAAAACTTACAATAAAGCAATGAAGCTACAATAATCAAAATAGGGTGATACTGGTGAAAGAACAGACAAGTAGAAGAGTGTAATAGAACAGACAGCCCAGAAATAGACCCACATAAATATGGCTGGCTGAAAGGAGCAAAGACAGTTCAGTAGAGAAAGGACAGTCTTTACAACAAATGATGCTGTAACAACTGAACACCCAAATGCAAAAAAATCTAAATCTAGACACAGACCTTACATCTTTCAAAAAAGTTAGCTCAAAATGCACCATAGGCCTAAATGTAAAATGCAAAACTATAAAACCTCTCGATGATAACATAGGAGAAAATCTAGGTGACCTTGGGCTTTGCGATGAGTTTTTAGACACAATGCCAGAAGCATAATCCATGAAATAAATAACTGACAAGTTGGACTTCATTAAAATTAAAAACTGCTTTGGGAAACACACAGAAGAATAAAAAGTGAAGCCACTGACTGGAGAAAATCGCAACACATGTATTGGATAAAGGACTGGTATTCAAGAATAGAAAGACTCTTAAAATTCAACAGTAAAAAAACAAACAGCCCAATTAAAAACTGGGCAAAGTACGTGAGCAAACACCTCACCAAAGAAGAGGTACAGGTGGCAAATAAGCATATGAAGAGATGCTCAACATCATTTGTTAGGGAATAGAAAAGAAAAAACAGTGAGATAGTACTACCCAACTATTAGAATGGCTGAAATCCAAAAACCTAAATATTACATGCTGGCCAGGATGAGGAACAAAAGGAACTCTCATTCATTGATAATGGAATGTAAAATGGTATGGACACTTAGTGGAGGACGGTTTGAGAGTTTCTGACTAAGCTAAACATAGTGTTACCATATAAAACAGTAATCGCATTCATAGGTATTTATCCAGTTTGTTTGAAAACTCAGATCACACAAAAACCCAAAGGCCTGCATGCAAATGTTCATAACAATTTTATTCATAATTACGCCAAACTGGAAGCAACTAAGATATCCTTCAATAGGAGATAAACAAATCATGATACATGGAATACTATTCATCACTCAAAAGAAATAAATTATCAAGTCACAAACACACAAAATGAAGAACCTTAAATGCATATTGCTAAGTGAAAGAAGCCAGTCTGAAAATGCTACCTACATACATTCCAAATACATCCTGTAAAAGGCAGAACTATAAAGACAGTAAAAAGATCAGTGGCGGCCATGAGCGTGGGGGATTTGGAGGTGAGATGAGGAGATGTAGCACAGCGGACTTTCAGGGTGAAACTATTCTCTCCAATTCTGTACTGGTGGATATGTGACATTATGCACTTATCAAAACTCAGAACTTTACGACACAAAGAGTGAGAGTTAATGGATGCAAACTAAAAGAAAATCACTTAGGAGATTAAGGGATCCCAGGAAGGAACAGAAATATGACAAGAGAATCTAACTATCACAAATGTAAGAAGTAACCTGCCTGAAAGCAGTTGGGAGGGGAAAGGTGCTGACCTCAGTAACCTTTGGGGCCTATAAGAATGAAGGCAAAAGTAAATCTGCCATAAGCCTTGTATTCTACCTGATACAGTTGTTTTACATGAGACTACAGGTTAACAATTCTGACATTAATACACATATCTACTGTAAATGGATGGAGGCCTCTCACTGTTGGAGTGGGAATTTACAGATAAGCAAGATAGAATCCACAAGGTAAAAGATTAGAATTGGAGACATGAGTCTCCACTATATTAAGCTAAACAGTTTAGCTTAATATAGACAAGATGGTTACATACAGAAATATTTATAGGTCTGTATACATCAAATACATGTCCATACAATAAGAGTTAGTACGCACATATTATTTCTTTACTCTGTCAGATGAGAAGGCCTAAAGAAATGACACCCTAGTAGCAACAAGCACACCCAGCACCCAGATCTTGGTTTCTCCATTCTGTAGTATAAGGAACAAGCCTATTTGGGAAAATGGCTAATTTCAGGATTAGGACAGGAAATATACAAGATAAGCCCGGTTCATCTTTTTTAAGATTTCTTTATTTCAGAGACAGAGTGAGCAAGCAAGTGGGAGGAGGGGCAGAGGGAGAGAGAGAATCCCAAACGGACTCCACACTAAGTGCAGAGCCTGATGCAGGGCCCAATCCCAGGACCCCAAGATCGTGGTCCAGGCCGAAACCAAGAGTTGGATGCTCAATCAACTGAGCCACCCAGGCTCCCCAGTCTAGTTCATCTTGTGTCGAAGTGTAAGAAAGCACTTGAAAAACAAAAAGAAATACCCATTGATGGAGTTCTGTCAAAGGAGCACAGGGGACGACTAAAAGAGCTCCCAATGGCCAAAGCCGGAACAATTTGAGCAACAGAATAAAGTAGTATCAGATTACAACCCATAGTACAAAATAAATATCCATGAGTCCATACTAATGTATATGATTGAAAA